CTTTAAGGGCCCTGTGGCGCAATGGGTTAACACCCTGGTCTGAAGCGCTGGCACCCATATGGGTGCCAGTTCAAGACCTGGCTGCACCACTTCCAATCCAGCTCTCTGTTTGGCCTGGGAAAGCAGGAGAAGATTGTCCAAGTCTTTGGGCCCTACTCCCGCATGGAGACCTGGAGTTAGCTCCTGGCTCCGGATCAATGCACCTCTGGCCATTGTGGCCAATTGGGGAGTGGACTATCAGATGGAAGACCCCTCTCTCACTTTCTCTCTCTCTCTCTGCCTCTACTCTCTCTGTGTAACTCTTTCGAATTAAATAAATAAATCTTTTTTAAAAAAATCCTACTTTCAGCAATGGACAGATCAAGCAAACAGAATATCTGCAAGCAAACAGTAGAGTTAACACTATAGACCAAATGGACCAAACAGATAACTACAGAACTTTTCATCCTACAAATGCAGAATGCACATTCTTCTCACCAGTGCATGGAACCTTCTCTAGGGTAGACCACATGCTAGGCCATAAAGCAAGTCAAAGCAAATAAAAAATCAAAATCATATCATGCATCTTCTCTGACTACAATGGAATGAAGCTGGAAATCAGCAACTCAGGAATCTCTAGAACATATGCAACACATGGAGACTGAACAATATGCTCCTGAATGAACAGTGGGTCACTGAAGAAATCAGAAAAGAAATTTAAAAATTTCTGGAAACAAATAAAGATGAAAATACAACATAGCAAAACTTATGGGATATGGCAAAAGCAGTGTTAAGAGGAATGTATATAGCAATTGGTGCCTATATCAAGAATTGGAAAGATACCAAATAAATGAGCTATCAATGTATTTCAATGAGGTAGAAAAACAATAACAAACCAAACTCAAAAACAGTACAAGAAAAGAAATAATTAAAATTAGAGAACAAAAAAATTGAAACCAAAAAATTCAAAAGATCAGAGAAAAGAGAAGCTGGCTTTTTGAAAAAATAAAACTCACATTGGCCCAACTAACCCAACACAACAAAAAAAGGAAACCTAAATCAATGAAATTGATATGAAAAAGGATGGAATAGATACCACAGAAATAAAAACAATCATCAGAAACTACTACAAATAGCTGTATGCCAACAAAATGGGAAACCTACAGGAATGGATAGATTCTTGGACACATACAACTTACCTATATTGAGCCATGAAGACATAGAAAACCTAAACAAAACAATAACCAAGACAGAAATTGAATTAATAATAAGTCTCCCAGCAAAGAAAAGCCCAGAACCCAATGGCATCACTGCTGAATTCTACCAGACATTTAAAGAAGTACTAACTCCAATTCTTCTGAAGCTATTCAAAAACAATTAAAAGGGACGGAATCCTCCTAAATTCTTTCTATGAAGCCAGCATCACCTTAAATCCTAAACCTGGAAAAGATACAACAGAGAAGAGAACTACAGACCCGTTTCTCTGATGAATATAGATGCAAAAATCCTCAACAAAATATTATCCAATCAAATCCAACATCAGAAAGATCATTCACTTAGACCAAGTGGGATGGTTCAACATTCACAATCAATGTGATACAGCACATTAACAAATTGAAGAACCAAAACCATATGATTATCTCCATAGATACATAGAGAGCATCTGATAAAGTTTAACACCCTTTCATGATGAAAACTCTAAGCAAATTGTATATAGAAGAAATATTCCTCAAGGCAATGTATGAAAAACCCAAGACCAGCTTCATAGTGAATGGGGGAAAGTTGGAAGCATTCCCACAGAGATCCAGAACCAGACAAGGATACCCACCCTCATTATTGCTATTCAATATCACCCTGGAAGTTTCAGCCACAGTCATTAGGGAAAAAAAGAAATCAAAGGGATACAAATTGAAAAGGGGGAAGTCAAACTATCCCTGTTTACAGATGACATGATTCTATATATAGGGGATCTGGAAGACTCCACTAAGAAACTACTGGAAATGATAGAAGAGTTTGGTAAAGTGGCAGGATATAAAATCAACACACAAAAATCAATAGCCTTTGTCTACATAGACAATGCCATGCTAAGAAAGAACTTCTAAGTCAATCAAAAAAAATCAAATACCTTGGAATAAATTTAACAAAGATGGCAAAGATCTCTACAATGAAAATTACAAAACATTAAAGAAACAGAAGCCACAAAAAAAAAAAAATTAGGAAAAATCTTCATGTTCATGGTTGGAAGAATCAGTGTCATCAAATTGTCCACACTAGCAAAAGCAGTTTAGATTCAATGCAATACCAACCAAAATGCCAAGGACATTCTTCTCAGATACAAAAAAAAATGCTAAAATTCATATAGAAACACAGGAGACCTCAAATAGCTAACGGAATCCTATACAATCCTATACAGGGCCGGCTTCCAACACAACTCTACTCAGAGATGCAGACCTCTGCATTTCACATCATCTTCATGACACACAACATATCCTTTTTTGTTTATTTTGGCTATTTAAAAATCATCCTTGTTCCCAGGCTTGTGTACAAAGAGGTAGTAGGCTGGTTTGGGCCCCCAGGCCATAGCTTGCCTAGATCCCTAAAGAGAACGGTGGGCTGTCTCCCCAGAAACATGCCTGCCACCTGGATGTGCACAGCTCTGGGAGCACAGGGCGGACAGTCCTGGCTGAAGGAGAGCCTGTGTACAGTTCAATATACGGGTAAGGCTCCGGAGGCTGGGGTTCCGGAGGATGCCAGAGGCAGAACAGAGAACAAACGCACTCGCAACTGCCCGACCACCTGGACTTCATGTGAAATTCCAATGCCACGCGACAGGCCGTTGGAAAATAATTTGGAATTAGCTATCAAGAGCATTAAAGAAATGTACCTGCCATTACGTACAGGTATTCTAAGACTCTCCTGAAGAAAAATAAAACTGTAACGTAGACAACATGGAACCTCATGAAATCACAAGCCATTGAGAGTAACACGGAGAAATGGCTGGGAGGAGTGGCAAAATTCAGAAAGCTGTACAATTTTTACACAGTGCTAATTATCTAAATGAAACAAATCTAGGCTTGGAAAAAAGAAATGTTTCTAAAATGTTAACAAAGGTTCTTTTCTAACAGTGGAAAAAGTGAGAAGAAAAGGAATAAACTTTTTTTTTTTACTACCATAAAACAGAGCTTATCACGTGAAATACAGAAAACTCTAAGGTCCTCACCAAAGGTTACTTTTATTGTCAACTGTGAGAAAACCACATTAAAGGCTAAAGTGAGAACTTACTTCTTTCATGGGATGTGTTCTTCTTAAAGTGTTCTTTGAATATACTGCACTGAAACAGGAAAAAATAAAAGTTAGGAAATATTTAAAGCAACCAGAGAAAATACCATAACCTGACTCTTTCCAAGTATTGTCTTCCCAAATTACACTGCTCAGTAGCTGTACTAATAGCGCATGCAATGGAACTGAAGTTATGACGAAGAAGCAGAACCCAGACCCTGTAAACATACAGTCAAATTATATCACCAATACATATAAAGTGACCACCTCGGTCCCTCAAGATCATGGAAAACTTCTAATCCTGCTGTCACGCTGCCCCTGCGCCCGGATCTGTCAGGAAACTGACTCTCCAGAGCTGAGCCAAGGGGACGGATACCAACATGGATGAGACTCCTCACACCCATTCCATCTGCGCCTGGCCCAGGATCACACAGCTTAACAATCCTATGAAGTAGAGGGGGCCATGTGACAGCTCTGCACGGGCACAGAGCAACAGGCAGCCAGGAGAGGAGCCTGCAGGAAAACCCCATCGGTTCAAATCCACAGCCTACCTTCTTCCCACCCCATAACACTCTCCAGTGACCTTGGGCACACCGTAAAACAGATTAAGGTGCGGATCTTCTAGAAGTGAAAAGGAAGCAAATGCAACAACAGTGACTAGACTAACAACTGAAAACAACAGTGGCAAGAAAAACCTATATTAACATCAGCAGTCAGTGAACAAGCACTGAGCACCCTCCACAGCTGAGGCACTGCATGGGGTATTAGAGATACTTTAGTAGAATCCAGTACTAGTTCCTGACTTTAAAATACGCCTTGCAGTTTTCAAAGACCCTTTGTGGAGGCAGTATCAGATTAGTGTGTCTGAACCAATATTCTTCAGGTACTTTATTTGACATGATTTCAAACTGTCTCCCCTGTACCCAGGTTCATCAGTTGCCTTCACCGTCTCTTTTGCTTCCTCTGCCTGTGCAAGGTAAGCACTCCTAACTGAAGTACTTCACTATGGCTTCCCTAGAGGGCATTCACGTGCACAGTCATAGCAGATTTCCAAAATCTAGATATTTCACATTTGCAATGTGATCATCCAACCTACAGTCCATGTCCAAATCTCATCGGCTCTCCAACACCCTTTAGGATTTTCACCCTAGCATTTTCTTCAAAGGGAAATTCAAGGGAACAGAAATATAAGATTGCACTGGATAGGATATTTTCATAAACTTTCCGATTTGTTTCATGTGCACCTGCGTACTAACTGTGATGCAAAACATCATTGTGTGAATCACAGTTAAAAAAAAAGAAAGCTGGAACACTGTTTAGAGCAGTGGTCTCACGCCTGGCGCCACCCCCAGTTTCTGGCTCAGTAAGTCAAGGGTAGGGTGTAGAGTTGGAGAGTTCATACTTCTAAAGTTTCCATGCTGAAATTCCATCTTTGTCCATCTTTGTCTGGTCAGCTCATTTTTCTATTTTTTTAAAAATTATTTTGACTTACTACTATAAATGCAAGTCTTAATTTTTTATTCTTTTTTTTTTAAAAAAAGTGGCTTAGCGTTTTATTTTATTTCTTACAAATTTCATTTATTTATTTGAGAGGTAGAGTGACAGACAGAGGGAAAGACGGAGAGGGCTTCCATCTGCTGGTTCACTCCCCAAAGCCAAAATGATGGGGGCTGGGCCAATCCAAAACCAGAAGCCAAGAGCTTCTTCCAGGTCTCCCACATGGGTGCAGGGCCCCCAATACTTGGGCTATCTTCCAACTGCTTTCTCAGGCCATAAGCAGAGAGCTGGATCAGAAGAGGATCAGCTGAATACAAACTGGCACCCATATGAGATGCAGGGGCCGCAGGTGGAGGCTTAGCCTTCTATACCACAATGTCAGCTCCTCTATTTCCTCTTTAAAATTAAGTAGATGAGGGTTCAGCAGTGGGTTAAGACTCAGGCTGCAAAACCAGCATCCCATAGCAGAGAACTGGTTCAAGTCCAGGCTCCTCCACTTCTGATCCAGCTCCCTGTTAACACACCTAGAAAAGCAGTTGGAAGATGGCTCAGGTCCTTGGGCCCCTGCACCTACATGTAGTTCCAGACTCCTGACCCAGCCCCCACCAATGCAGCCACATGGGGAGTGAACCAGAGGATGGAAGATTCTCTCTCTCTCTCTCTCTCCCTTTCAAATAAATAAAATAAATCTTTAAACAAATTATGTAGATAATATAACCATTTACAGAGAAAATACATGGATTGCATATACCTGTATACATACATACGAATACCACTTTTTGTGTCAACAAACATTCAAATTTACCATATGTATACAACTAATCCAACAATGTTTCTACCTGTTGAAAGTAAAAGTACAGTCCCTTCCTCCTATCTCAGGGCAGTGTTTCCTTATATGCTTCCGTCTTTACTCTTCTCTGGAAGAGCACGTTGTTGATTACTCCTCTTTCTCTTTACCTCATCTTCATGGATTCTTCCACTGCTTTTTGAACATACCCAAAAAATAAGAACCCTTTCTCAATACTACACCATGAACCAGTTAGCAGACTCTCTCCCCTCTCATTTAAGGCCAAACTCCAAAGAAATATTCCAATCAACTGTAACTCACTCCTCAAATCACTCTAGTCTGGAGTTTTGCCACTATCATTGTACTGAACCAGTTCTCATGAAGATCACCCATGTGGCATAGCAGGTAAAGCTGAAGCCTGCTGTGCCAGTATCCCATGTGGGCACCAGTTCTAGTCCTGGCTGCTCCACTCGGATCCAGCTCTCTGCTATGACCTGGGAAAGCAGTAGAAGATGGCCCAAATCCTTGGACCCCTGCACCCATGTGGGAGACCTGGAAGAAGCTCCTGGATTGGCCCAGCTCTGGCCATTGTGACGTCTGTGACGTGAACCTGCCAGATGGAAGACATCCTTCTCTTCTCTGCCTCTGCCTCTTGGTAACTCTGCCTTTCAAACAAATAAATAATCTTTACAAACAAAAACAAACAGAAAACTTCCTGTTGCTAAATCTAAGTGATAATTTTATTCCTTATTTTACTTCATTTCTCAGCACTGTTTAACCTCCTTCTCTAAACACTTTCTTCCCAGCTAGTAAGATATAATACTGTTTTCCATTCATTCATTCTGGCCTGCATACTTTGAACCCTTTTCTTCTTTACTTGCTATTTAATGTTGAAGCCCCTAAAATGTTCAAGATTCTATTATACTGTCACTTCCCATTTTGTAAAAGATTTATTTTTTTATATTTATTTTATTTTATTATTTATTTTTTTGACAGGCAGACGTGGACAGTGAGAGAGAGAGACAGAGAGAAAGGTCTTCCTTTGCCGTTGGTTCACCCTCCAATGGCCGCCGCTGGCCGGCGCGCTGTGGCCGGGCACCGCACCGATCCGATGGCAGGAGCCAGGAGCCAGGTGCTTGTTTCCTCGGTCTCCCATGGGGTGCAGGGCCCCAAGCACCTGGGCCATCCTCCACTGCACTCCCAGGCCACAGCAGAGGGCTGGCCTGGAAGAGGGGCACACGGGGACAGAATCCGGCGCCCCGACCGGGACTAGAACCCGGTGTGCCGGCGCCGCTAGGCGGAGGATTAGCCTAGTGAGCCGCCGCGGCGCCGGCCCTATTTTTTTTATTTGAAAGGCAGAACAACAGAGAGATTTGGAGAGAGAAAGTGATCTTCTATCTGCTGGTTCACTGTTCAAATGGTTAGGCCAGGGCTGGGCCAGGTTGAAGCCAGGAGTCTGAAACACCATTTGGCTCTCCCAAATGGGTGATAGGGCCTCAAGTACTTGGGCCATTTTTTACTGCTTTGCCTGGCACATTAGCAGGCAGCTGAAGCAGAAGTACAGCAGCTGGAACTTATACTGGCACTCTGATATGAGATGCCATTGTCTCAAGCACTGTGCCATAATGTGCCATTGTCTCAAGCTCAAACCACTGTGCCATAATGCCAGCTCCTATCACTTTACACTTTGTATGTAGAACCATCATCTATACCCGTGCCTTCACTGTTACCTAAACATAGCTGAAATATATTGTCTCTATTTCAAGTATGATTCTGAAATAGGTGACTTAACAACTTGTTGCAAAAGCTATTCAAATATGATATAGCTCAATCACGCTGGTGATTCCTCTTCTTCCATCAAAGTTTAGCACTTCTTGTGCTGTCCCGTGTCTCATCCATTAGTTGAGTAAGGAAGAAATTTAGAATTACCCTTGATATTTCCTTTTCCCATGCACCCTATTTCTAATCCATCACCTAATTAACCAATTTTACCCCTTATACATTTCTTAAATCTATGTTATCTCCATTGACATACGCCAGTCTATGACGCCATGGTCTCTCCATAAGATAACAGCTATATTATTTTATTTTATTTATTTATTTATTTTTTGACAGGCAGAGTGGACAGTGAGAGAGAGAGAGAGAGAGAGAAAGGTCTTCCTTTGCCATTGGTTCACCCTCCAATGGCCGCCGCGGCCGGCACACTGTGGCCGGTGCACCGCGCTGATCCGATGGCAGGAGCCAGGAGCCAGGTGCTTTTCCTGGTCTCCCATGGGGTGCAGGGCCCAAGCACCTGGGCCATCCTCCACTGCACTCCCTGGCCACAGCAGAGGGCTGGCCTGGAAGAGGGGCAACCGGGACAGAATCCGGCGCCCGACCAGGGACTGGAACCCGGTGTGCCGGCACCGCTAGGCGGAGGATTAGCCTAGTGAGCCGCGGCGCCGGCCTACAGCTATATTATTTTTACACATCATTGTATCTGAATCTGTATCTCTTCTCATCCATCCCAAACTAATTCAAAGTGTCTTCAAAAAGTTCATGGAAAATGTGTAGTATGAAAAAACTGGGCATAGGTTTCAATTTTTGGCACCAAAATAAATTTATCTCTACTCCATTTTCTTTTCTTTTTAAAAAAAGATTTATTTTATTGAAAGACAGTTACAGAGAAGCGGAGGCAGAGAGAGAGTGAGGTCTTCCATCCACTGGTTCACTCCCTAGATGGCCGAAATGGCCAGAGCTGCGCCCATCTGAATCTAAGAGCTGGGAGCTTCCTCCAGGCCTCCCATGCGAGTGCGAGGGCCCAAGGACTTGGGCCATTCTCTACTGCCTTCCCAGGCCATAGCCAAGAGTTTATAGGAAGTGGAGCAGTCAGGACACAAACCGGCACCCATATGGGATGCCAGCACTGCAGGCAGCGGCTTTACCAGCTGCGCCACAGCACCGGCCCCCTCTCAACTCCATTTTCTATAAACTTTTAAAGTACTTTAATACATCCACCATCCTCTAGACAGTCATCTGATCATGAAGAGCCTGCTCAAAACACTTTAGTAATTTTCCATTTCTCTGAGGACATAGATCAAAATCCCTGGGTAAAAACTCTGTTGTCTTGGTTCCCACTTTTCCCAATTCTCTTCACCCCTTGTTTAAATTTTAGACATATTAATTAAGATACCATGCTGCTTCTTTCCCTGTGCTTTGTATAAAATTCTTCTATTTCTTTTCTCTATAGGACTAATTCCTAACTTACCTTTAGGTCCTACTTCACTTACTACCTTCCTTAGAGCTCTCCTGATATTTCTGCCTAGCACAGATCTTCCTATCTCATACATTCATGGTCACATTTACCTCTTCTCCACTAAGTGTATCACTTCAATTGAGGTTATACTAATTTGGATAATCATTTAATTAATAATGTATGTACATGTGCGAATGAAAATGTCTATTTTTGTACTCTTAGGACTAACATAATATCCAGTTAGCATTAAGAATTTGTTAAGTACAAGTAAAATTTTGGTAGCTTTTGAAATTCAAAATAACTTATAAAGAATTTATGCATTTGAGGGTATTTAACAAGGAAGGGGACTTTTGTGTGAATTTGCCTTTTGCTGCCATTATTGGTCAAAATGTGATCCTCATGAAATGGGAAGACTCAGGGGTGCCCTACAGGTTAACTAGGGGCAGACAAGGTGGGTGGTTAAAAGACAGGAACAATACCCACCCCAACCCCCTGAATCTGTGCTACACTCTCACCAGAACAGTTTTGATTTTTCCTGTGTTATAATTAGAAGTCCATGGAATGTTTTGCTTGAATAAGTGTGCCCTCCTCCTTCTCCCCTTCAGAAAGATTTGAAAGCTACTGAATGAGCTAAATATCAGTGTATGGATTAGAAAACTGAAGCTGATTTTAGAGAAGCAGAATGACCCAAAGCTGCAGAGGACTAACGTAAATCTGTGTCAGATGGGAAAATGAAAAACCCTCAACACAGCAACATCCCCTGCCTTCTTCTCCTGTCTCATTCTTGCTGTTTCCTTTTGCCTGCTATAACTCTCACAATATTTGCTACATTTTCAAGAAATGGACTTCCCAGGATAACTATGAATATTTCATTGTCTGACTTTGGAAAAGACTCACCTGGCAAGTATGTTTTCTAGGCAATTTTCATTCTTCATTTGCCGGATGGAAATTGAAAAGATTTTTCAATGGTGGAACTCTCCCAAAATAACTGATGGGCTGTAATTCATTTTTTATTTCTGAAATGATTGGAAAATATTTAACATATATTTAATATTTAATATAATATTAAATTATAATATTAAATATTAATATGTAATATATAAAACAGTTCAATTTTATATAAGCAATTTATCTATGCCAAGAAATCCTATAAGCTGAAAATGAAGTGGAAGCAAAATATATTATTATCCTTACTTTGCAAACACCAGAGGGCAGTAAATACTGTAGAAAAAGTCACAAATGTTTCAAATATTATGTAAATAGATTATACTACAAGTAGTAAAGAAAAGTTAAAATAGGGCCAGCACCTGCAGTGCTGGCATCCCATATGGGGGCCAGTTCGTGTCCCACCTGCTCCTATTCAATCCAGCTCTCTGCTATAGTCGGGAAAGCAGTAGAAGATGGCACAAGTCCTTGGGCCCCTGCAGCCATGAGGAGACCCTAAAGAAGCTCCTGGCTCCTGGCTTAAGATTGGCCCAGCTCTGGTTTGCCATTTGGGGAGTGAACCAGTGGATGGAAGACCTCTCTCCCTCCTCTCTCTCTCTGCCTCTGCCTCTCTGTAACTCTGAAGTTCAAATAAATAATAAATCTTTAAAAAAAGAAAGAAAAGTTAAAATAATAAAGTATGTATGAACTTGAAAGAGTCTCTGTCTAAATAGAATATATAAGGTTCTTCAGGATAAGAGAATACATATTCATTGTAATCTACAGTAACATGTTGCCATGAAGGGAATGTGACGGAAATCAGCCAAAAAAAATTCTTTGCTCAGGAATCTTAAAATGATCTGATATCTGTACTATACTAAATCATATGGGTATGTACCATCACCTCACATTCCCCCACTTCCCTCCTTTCATGTCTAGTTCCTCTATCCTTATCTCTTTATTCTGCTTCCATCTTTAGTTTTAGATCTATATCTCTGGACATATATATAATATATATCATTCAAACAGTGAGGAAAAATTCTTTTTAAAAGATTTTTTAAAAATTATTTGACAGGTAAATTACAAACAGTGAGAGGGAGAGACAGAGAGAAAGGTCTTCCTTCCATTGGTTCATTCCCCAAATGGCCACAATGGCCGGAGCTGTACCAATCCGAAGCCAGAAGCCAGGAGCCAGGAGCCAGGAGCTTCTTCCTGGTCTCCCACGCAGGTGCAGGGGCCCCAGCACCTGGGCCATCCTCCACTGCCTTCACAGGCCACAGCAGAGAGCTGGATTGAAAGAGGAACAACTGGACTAGAACCGGCGCCTATATGGGACGCCGGTGCCGCAGTTGGAGGATTAACCTAGTGCGCCACGGCTCTGGCCACAAGGAAAAATTCCTAATATTGCAATAGAAATTGAGAACACCACCAAAACATACTTTCACAGAAGTAACATAATTATCAATGACAAAAATTACACAGACACATGCATACATAATATTTAAACTTTCACGAAAAATGTGCAATGAAAAAATTATGTATAGAGATTTAAAAAATGTATGCATCAAAATAAACTTACTTATCTATTCCACTTTTCTGTGAACTTTTTGAAGTATCCTGTATATTTGGATAAAAAATGTTCAGTTTATAATAGTAATCAAACAATGCACTAAAGGACAAAACAAAATTATAGTATTCACCATTGTCAAATATATAGCAAAACAGGCACTCTAACCTATTACAAGCAGTAGTATTAAACTGTTACAAGATCCTTCAGGGGCTGGCACTGTCGTGTATCGGGAAAAGCCATCCACACGGATGCTGGTTCAAGACCTGGCTGCTCCACTTCCAATCCAGCTCTCTACTATGGCCTGGGAAGCAGAAAGACCTCTCTCTCTGCCTCTCCTTCTCTCTCTGTGTAACTCTGACTTTCAAGTAAATAAATAAATCTCTTAAAAATAAAAGATCCTTCAGAAAATAATGTGAATTTTCTATTCTGCCCAATTTATTCATTCATTTGTTTATTAGTAGTGTAGGCACAAGGTTTCTTCTTATAGGCAATGGCTTGTGATCCATTGGTAGCATTATTTATTTTGATATTTTACTTCCTGAGTTGGACATGAGGAGTCCCTTCAGGCTAGCCTGAATGTACTTTTGAATATTACTATTATTATCATTATTCTACTATAAGTATTTCTTTACTTTGTAGAACCATAAAATGTCCCTGGATCATTTAATACTTTTTCTTTTACTGGAAAACCTTGGAGAATTCCAATCCAATTCTACCAGTTCTTTTATTTCTAACCTTGCTATATTTAATGTTTCATCTTCCTTCTCCAAAAGTGAAAATCCTGGCTTCAGGCATATTCACTGTCTTTCCTCATTTACTCAATCAGGCAATCCACAGGAATTATTTTCAGAATTGCTACATACCTACTACTGAGAGATGTACTCCTACCAAGCAGAGTAAAGTTCAGTTTATAGATCTCCTTGTCTTTAGAATAAAGATGTATGTCCAAGTACAATGCTTAAAGTTCATTGGTTTAAAAATAATTTTAAAAAGTTGCTTGGTTAGTGCTTTTATCTCCTTATGTATCGTTATGTTACTTGAAAAGGTTTTTTGTGTGTGTGCTTGTGAACATAATATTTTTTTTTGAATTTAACTACTGGAAAAACTTGATTTTTAGGTCTTTATGTACTGATACTTATTAATGCATTATAATTTAATTACAAATTAGAAAAACTTCCATTTAGAATCAGTATCATTAAAATGTCTATACTACCTAAAGCAATCTAGATATATTCGATGCAATCCCCATCAACAATACTAATGACATTTTTACAGAATTAGAAAAAACAACCCAAAATTCATATGGAATCACAAACAACCCAGAGTAACCAAGATGATCATGAGCAAGAAAAATCAAACTTGGAGTTATCAAAATACCTGACTTCAAAGCTTACTACCAAGCTCTAATAATTAAAATGGCATGGTACTAGCATAAAAACTGACATAGATCCATGGAACAGAACACAGAGCCCAGAAATTAATCCACATACATGCAGCCAACTGAATTTGGACAAAAGTGCTCAGACCATAAAATGGAGTAAGGGATAATCTCTTCAACAAATGGTGCTGGGAAAACCAGGTGTTTGTACACATACACACATATGTATAGAAGAATGGAAGTAGATACTACCTGTCACCGTATACAAAAATTAACTCAACATGGATCAAAGACTTAAATTTAAGACCTAAGACTATGATGCTGCTGGAAGAAACTGTAGGGGAAACACTCCACGACATTGGTGTAGGGGATGAGTTCTTGGACAAGACTCCCAATGAACAGGTGACAAATGCAAAACGGAACAAATGGAGTTTTATCAAACTCACAAGCTTCTGTACAGCAAAGGAAATGATCAATACCATGAAGAAATATGCAACAGAATAGGAAAAATATTTGCAAGCTACCTATCCAACGAAGAATTACTATCCAGAATATATCAGTAACTTAAAAAACTCAATAAAAACCAACAAATCCAGGTAAGAAATGAACAAAGGACCTCAATAGACAGTTCTCAAAAGAAGAAATACAAATGGCCAACAAATATATGAGTAAATGCTCAACATCACTAGCCGTCAGGAAAATGCAAATCAAAACCACAATGAGATATCACTTCACCATCTCAGAATGGCTAAAATCCAAAAGACAGAGAGTAACAAATACTGAAAAGAATGTGGAGAAAGGGAAATATTTATACACTGTTCATGGGAATGGAATTAGTAAGCCATTATGAAAACAGTATGGGGATTTCTTAAAAACTAGAAATTGACTTGCCATATGATCCAGCAATCCCACTACTGGATATATACTCAAAAGACATGAAAATGTTGTATCAAAGTGAAATCTATACCACCATGTTTATAGCAGCACTGTTTAAATAGCCCAAATTTTGGCCAGCGCCGCGGCTCAATAGGCTAATCCTCTGCCTGTGGCACCAGCACCCAGGGATCTAGTCCCGGTTGGGGCGAAGGATTCTGTCCCGGTTGCCCCTCTTCCAGGCCAGCTCTCTGCTGTGGCCAGGGAGTGCAGTGGAGGATGGCCCAAGTGCTTGATCCCTGCACCTGCATGGGAGACCAGGAGGAAGCACCTGGCTCCTGGCTTCAGATCGGTGCAGCACGCCAGCCACAGCAGCCATTTTTGGGGTGAACCAACGGAAAAGGATGACCTTTCTCTCTGTCTCTCTGTCTCTGTCTAACTCTGCCTATCAAAAAAAAAATAGCCCAAATTTAGAGTAAACCAAGATGTCCACAATCAGATAAAAAAAATAAAGATATGGGGCCAACACTGTGGCTCAGGTGGTTAATGCCCTGGCCTGAAGCGCCGGCATCCCATATGGGCACTGGTTTGAGTCCCGGCTGCTCCACTTCCAATCCAGCTTTCTGCTATGGCCTGGAAAGCAGTAGAAGATTGCCCAAGTCCTTGAGCCCCTGCCCTGGCATGGGAGACCTGAAAGAAGCTCCTGGTTCCTGGCTTTAGATTGGTGCACTTCTAGCTGTTGCAGCCAATTGGGGAGTCAACCATCGGATGGAAGACCTCCTTCTCTCTCTCTCACTGCCTCTCCTCTCTCTGTGTAACTCTGTCTTTCAAATAAATACATAAGTCTTAAAAAAAAAATGAAAGAAAGAAAGAAAAAGAAAGGCCAGCTGGCACCCCGGGTTCTAGTCCCAGTTGGGGCGAAGGATTCTGTCCCAGTTGCCACTCTCCAGCCCAGCTCTCTGCTGTGGCCCGGGAGTGCAGTGGAGGATGGCCCAAGTGCTTGGGCTCTGCATCCACATGGGAGACCAGGAGGAAGCACCTGGCTCCTGGCTTCGGATCGGCGCAGCGGCCATTTGGTGGGTGAACCAACAGAAGGAAGATCTTTCTCTCTGTCTCTCTGTTTAACTCTGCCTGTCAAAAAAAAAAAAAAAAGAATGCCATACTATTATAGTTTAATGATATGTGATTACTTTTAAATTTACTATATAAGGGTGATATATTCATGTTTCCATTAAAATTTGTATTTATAGCTGTTGGCTAAATTCCC